CAAAGTAATAAAACTCTTTTACTGAAACACAAAAATAAAATAAATGTTTGCTTACAATTTGATTAAAGAAAATTTACTTACATTTCTTTAAGCTATTTTAATTTTTTAAATGTCTCTGTGGAGTATTTGTATGATACCATAATGTATATTTATGTAGAATCAAATTATATAGAACAGTACCAATATCATTATAGAAGAGATTAACATTTTAATGTATATTGTTCTAATCGATCATATTGTGGATCATTTTGAAGTTCATTATAGCGATATTGATAAATTGTGGGATTGTCTTAATGTTCTTTTTTATTAACCAATATTATTTGAAACCTAACTGAGATTATCGGTAACATTCATCAGTGGGTGACTTTTGAAGAAGGATAATTAAATTTTCTCTGAAACTGACAAATGTATATGGTTTTAGTTCAGTGTTAAAGATTTTAATACAATATTAAATTACTTGAACTGAAGAGTTCCCTGTACATATTTTGCCTTTTCACTGTTGATATGTATGTAGGATACTGAGAGTCAAATAACACTAAAATATGGTACCGAAAGGGAATTGTATAGGAGCAAAGGAAATAGTAGCTTCACTGCAAAGAGAAACATGTGTAAATATGCTTGGGCTTCCAGTTATAAATTTTGTAATTTTTGTCATTATTTATATCCTATATTAAAAGGGGGGGAAAGCACACAAAATAAAACAGAAGTTTCACAGCCACTGGTGCTTGGCATCCTTGTGTGAGCACCTCCCCACCTCCTGTCAGGAGCAGAACCAATCTTAAAAAAGGACTTTTTAGTTGGCAAAATTGTTGAGAACATTTGCATGTTTCCAAATTCCTACCAGTCTGAGGCAGATACATGAGCCTTGGAGGCTTGAATTTCAACCCCATTTGCTTAAATATTAAAGTGGGACTTAAGGACCAATAGCTAAGCCAGCTTCCTCTCCCACGTCGTTCCCTACGCAGGAAAGCACCATATGTCAGAGCAGAGCTGAGCTCCGTAGGCTTCACAGTGGCTTTGATCTTTGAAAATAATCACCAGGACGTTCTTCCTTGGTACTTCTGGGTGTATTCGAACCACCAGTCTTTCTATTAATAGCTAAGAACATAGGCTTTTGTCTGACCCAGGGCTACAGGTCTGGAAGGAAGAGTCATCAAATAGACATTTCTAAAACAGGAAAGACTGCCAGCCTAGATCACTTTCATATTACTACAATGTATCATTGGCTACACATAAATTCTTTTATTGTCCCTAGAACACATGTGCCAGCTGCAGGTAGAGAAAGAGGCCACATTAGAAGCATGCTGAATGGGCAGCAATTAGTATTCCATGTTCTGTGACCCTCAGGATCTCTGAAGGTGGATCCAACTCTTCATCTCAGAAATCCACACTAGAGCTGTCCCTCCAGCTTGGCATGCAGAGGCCTCATGCTTTGAAGTGCAAAGTACTGAAATAAGCCCAAGAAGGGATGAGATTGAGTAAGGCAGGAGGGCACTTTATGACAGGAGGGTTTTTATATTGTATGCCTCCACTGCACTACTTTGGACCTTTTCATCTTTGTTGACATTAACTTACTGCCATCACATTGATTACTATCCATGTTGTTGTTGTTACAGACCGGGCAGTCAGAACCAACTCATAGCTGACCCTCCAGCTCGATTTTCAGACTCAATAAATCTCACAGAGATTGCCTGTCTTCTCCCTCAGAGAAGCGGCTGGATTTGAACCATGGTCCTTTGGTTTGTCAGTGCACCTCCTTACCACTAAGCCACTTAGAGTGCTCCGGTTCCAACTCACAGAAACCCTCAAGAGCTGAGGAGACTGCCCCGTAGGATTTCTGGGACTCTGATTTTCACGAAAGCACACACAAAGCCTCTGGAGGGCTCAGACCACTGACCCTTAGTTCGTCACAGACATTTTAAGCGCTTTGCCACCCAGCCTCCCTTGTTAATACCAAAGGTCGGCCTCTCTTCATTGACATTTCTGTGGCTCAAATGCTAATTTGTACAAGTTATTCTCAGCACGAAGCAGATGGCACACTCCAATTTCAGTCATTTAAGAGACTATTTACAGGTTGATGAAAAAGTTTGAGAAACACTGATGATAGCTGGGGGGTTGGGGAAGAGAAGAGGAGACTATTTACAGGCAAGGAGGTCTGGTAGTATGACCATTAAGCACCTGACTGGAAACCTAAAGGTTGACAGTTTGAATCCACTCAGCAGCTCCTCAGGAGAAAAACCTGGCAGTGTGCTCCTGTGAAGACTGATTACAGCTGAGAAGAGTCTGCAGGGCAGCAGGGCAGGGGTGTTCTGTCTTAAGGGGCTGTGAGCCAGAACTGGCTCCGTGATAGCCAGCACAACCAAGGGACAGTATAGAAGGAAAGTAGAGGGCACAGCAGTACCCCTGGTGACAGCTACTGGCAAACCTCTCCATCCTGAAGGGGATAAATAGACAAAGCTGTATGGGAAAGGCCACCTCATAAGCTGAGGGACGTGGTCAGCTCGGTGACCCTCAGATACCATAGAATATATTCTGACTCATTGTAACGCCTTACGGACCAGAATAGAGCAGTGACCAATAGGGTTCTCCCTGGCTGACTTTCTTAGTAGATTACCAGGTACCTTTCTTCCAAGGCACCTCTTTGCAGTTAACGGCCAAGTTCATTAACCCTTCACATCATCTGCGGATGCCGCTGGGGTGTAAAATAGAGTAGATCCCTGGCTTATGGAAGTCAGATTTATTAACAACTCCTTCCTGCCTTTTAATTTTGTGTAAATTTGTCCTTTACAAAGAATCCACGCACTCCCTCAAAAAATCTCAAGCTCACACGCTACCATCGCATCTGTACTGACCTTTCGCTGACCCTCTTCCGCTGGATTTCCAGGGCCATAAATTGCACAGAAGGAAATTGCCCATCTCCCCACAGGACTGCTGGTGGGTTTGAACCATCAAGGAAACACGGCCTTTGGGTTAGAAGTGCCGCTCCCTCCCTCACTCCCCACCACGTCTCACTGCAGTCAGACTCTACTCAGCACATTCCCCTTGACAGTCACCTTCATTTGCTCTTTGTGCAGCTCTATTAAATTATTTCAAAGACTTGAAGACTGTTCTTGGCAGTCACGTAAGATCCTGCTCTGAGGAGAGCTGTCCCTTGAGAGGGACATCATGCTTGGAAACGTGGAGGGTCAGCGAAACAGAAGACCCTTGACAAGATGGACTGACATTGTGACTGCAGCAATGGGCTTAAATGTGTCAGAGGTGATGAGGATGGCACAGGATAGGACAGGGTTCAGAGCTGTTGTTCAGAAGGTCACTGAGAGTGGTACTCAGTGGCACCTAACAATGACTGACTTACCTGCAAATTCATGGGGGGCAGGAGGATGGGGGTCTTTGAATGCTCCTGTTACTTAAAAAAGGACTTAAACTCAGTAACCCCATTTCTTTTTCTTTATGTCTTAAATTCTGTGATAAATTTGGGTGAATGAACACTTTGGAAATTATGACTGGTTCGTTCATAAATGAGCACCCGTGGCATAGTCGGTGGAAGCTGCGCTGCTATGAGTGTGAGTTTTTCTTAACTCGTTAATAAGTAGTTTTTGTTGTTAGGTACCATCTCATTGGCTCAGACCCGTAGGGACCCCATGAACAAATCAAAAGCTTGCCCTGTCCCATGCCATTGTCACAAGCTCCACCAGGCTCAAGCTCACTGTTGCAGTCACCGTGTCAAATTAATCTCATCCAGAGTCTTCCTCTCTTTTTTTCTGACCCTCTGTTGTTCCGAGCTTAATAAGTCCCAGGAGTGAATTTTCTCCAGAAGTACCAGGACATTTGGGTTGGAATGATGTTCATTTATATGATGTGGGAGACAGGCTCATAAAGAAGGCAGAGCCAGAATCTCACATAAAAATCAATAAAATTCACACTTGAGGCCCAAGTAACAATTGCTCTTAAGCTATTTCGGGAAAGAAATTCGCTCTTGGATACCGTAGCCTTCAGAGTGCAGCTATAGAATTGGAATATAAGGATTGTGTTCAGAAATCTATATAGAATAAGATGTTTTAAGATATATGACATTTTCTCTTTAAGCTTTAAAAAAAACAAACAACACAACAAGCCCTTAACTCACCGCCATTGAGTCAGAATCAACTCAAGCTCACCCTCCAGACAGGTTTCAGATTGTA